TTTCTCTCTATAAAGAGAGATCCATTTTTGATTGAAGCATTTGAGAGTAAATTGAGAAATATGCCCCACTACTCTTCAAACAAGACTTCTCCTGTATTGTCACAGTACACCCACCAAAATCTGTGCTACTACTACCATCTGATCGACAGATCCCACTCAAACCTTACCAATTGTCCAACAGTTCTCTCTTTTCCCACCAACCCCACTCCCTTTCCTTTTTCTCTCTCCTATTTGACCCAGAATCCTATCCACAATCACAGGTTGCCTTCAGCCTTCATCACATTGATTTAGTCTCCTTCAATCAGGAACAGATCTTCGGTCTTTCCTTATCTTCAGGACTTGAAATATTGAAAGAAAATCACTATTCAGAGTGAGAGGCTGGATCATCTCTTCAAAACTGATGAGTGATTTTCACATAAACTCTAAAGTTCATCATACTTCAAACTTTTGAGGCAACATTTCTAAACCAGAAGTTATAACCCAATGATGGTAGTGGTGAGAATCAGGGAAGAGAGGAGCTGGGCCAACCTGATGCTCAGTGTTTACGAAGAGGGAGTGAGTGGCTCTGTGGGCTGTTCATATCTGCTTCAAGATAAGATGGACTCGGGGCGGTACCTGTGGCTAAAAGGAGTAGGGCGCTGGCCCCATATGCCAGAGGTGGTTGGTTCAAACCCAGCCCTGGCCATAAGATGGACTCTACGCCCACACATTTCTCTTTTTGAGAGGTACTCACCTGATCCTGCTTATCTTTCAGATAAGTGTTCTCTACACCTCTTTGTTGTAGAAGCAATGTCAAACAATGGAAAAATACAGGAGCTTCAAAGAGATCCCAGGCAAGATAAATTGGAGACCTGTTACTTGAAAAAATTTATTGGTTTGTATTTACAGCCTCAGTTTTAGACAACGGAGCTATCAATTTACCTATTGACTTACATTGGACTAGATCTTCTTACTCTATGCCTACTCTATGCACCAACTGAAAAGTAATAATTAAATTTGAATAGTGCACTTTCAAAAATAACTGAATTCACAAATACATATACATGGAAATGGAACCTAACCTGACTTTGTAAAGGTTTAAGCAGAGAGGCACCATTAGGGATGAGAAAGGCTAAGGAATAAGGGGTTGGGAAAGAATGAATGCTGCTGAAGATGAAGCAGATTATAAAAACAAAACGTAGATAAGGAAAAACACACAAATTAGATCTGGAAGGCCTAGTGTGGTGGCTTACACTTACAATTATAACATTCTGGGAGTCTGAGTAGGGAGGATCACTTGAGCTCGGGAGTTCAAAACCAGCCTGAGCAAGAGTGAGACGCTGTCTCTACTAAAAAAATAGAAAATTAGCAGAATGCTGTGGCTCACATCTGTAGTCCCAGCTACTCAGGAGGCTGAGAGAGGAGGATCACTTGAATCCAAGAAATGGAGGTTGCTGTGAGCTAGGCTAAAGCTATCGCACTCTAGCCTGGCCAACATGAGACTCTGTCTCAGGTAAATACACACACACACACGCACACACATACACAAGGGTATTATTGAAGTAATAAGTGGAAGGAGAACAGAATAGTAAAATTGGAGAGTTGGATAAGAAAAGGCAAGCATGAGACAGATTTTTTATGCACTATGCTAAGGGATTAGATCTTCTCTAGATTCAATGAGAGGTACTAAAAGGTTGTGTTTTTTAATTAAATCATAGCTGTATACATTAACGCATTTATGGGGTACAATGTGCAAATTTTACATACAATTTGGAATGCTTACATCAAATTGGTTAACATAGCCTTCACTTCCCTTACTTAATTATTGTGTTAAGAGGTATTTGCAGGTTATGTTTCTGACAAAGGTTTGACAACCAGAATCCACAGAGAATTCAAACTTATTAGCAAGAAAAGAACAATTGATCCCATTTCATTGTGGGCGAGAGATTTGAACAGAAGCTTCTCTGAAGAAGATAGGTGCATGGCCTCAAAACACATGAAAAAATGCTCATCATCTTTAATCATTAGAGAAATGCAAATCAAAACCACTTTGAGATATCATCTAACTCCTATAGGAGTAGCTCCCATAACAAAATCCCAAAACTACAGATGTTGACAGTGGAGAACACTGCTGGTGAGAATGCAAGCTAGTATATTCCTTTTGGAAAGAAGTTTGGAGAACACTTAGGGATCTAAAAGTAGACCTGCCATTTGATCCTGCAATTCCTCTACTCAGTATATATCCAGAAGACCAAAAATCACTTTACAACAAAGACATTTGCACCAGAATGTTTATTGCAGCCCAATTCAAAGTTTGCCAAGTCATGGAAGAAGCCCAAGTGCCCATAAACCCATGAATGGATTAATAGATTGTGGTATATGTACACCATGGAATATTATGAAGCCTTAAAAAGGTTTTAATCAGTGAGTGTCCTGGTCTGATTTTCACTGTGTTAAGTATCATTCATGAAGTCTACAGGGCTTGGCAAGGAGAAGAGGGGATAGAGACTTTCTGAGCCTATGCATTCCTTAGCCATGCACAGTGACTTTCCAGTATTCCCTGTATGAATGTTTGCTTTAAATGTCCTAATCTTTACCATCTGGTCCACAAAAGGCAAAAAGGGAGCAATGAAGTGGGAAGAGGAGAGCAGTGGCTTTAAATACCTTAAAGATTGCTTCAGCCCAAGAGGAAGGAACTTGTAACTATGAGGGAAGTGTGTTTCTATGCAATAATTGCTGCTGGCCTCTATGTGATCAGAAGCAGCAATCATCAACATATTGATCTATAATATTTAGAAACAGGGTCCCTATGGGTCATCCTAGTTCCTGTAAGTTGTGTGCAAGCTGCTCCAGGAACGAGTATATAGTTGCCTGCAGGGCTTGGGGTGGGCATGGGCATCTGCAACTGAATTAGGAGATAAAATAGACAAAAATTAACTTAAATTTATCACCCAAAGCTTCCCCTGAATATTACAAGAATTCAATACATTTCAAAGTTTCAAAATAGTTACATCAGAAAGATTCTTCCAGTGTAATTGTTGTCCTGGTGGAGAGACATATTCCTGGGACTCCCTATTCTGTTGTCTTCCCAGAATCCTCGCAAAGTTGATCTCATCATCCAGGCACGGTGGCTCACACCTATGCCAGCCCTCTGGGAGGCCAAGGTGGGTGGATATCTTGAGCTATCAGGAGTTCCAGAGCAGCCTAAGCAAGAGTGACACCCCTCCCCTCCTGGTCTCAGCTAAAAATAGAAAAACTAGCAGGCATTGTGGAGATCACCCATAGACCCAGACACTTAGGAGGCTGAGACAAGAGGATCACTTGAGCCCAACAGTTTGAGGTTGCTGTGAGCTATGATGCCATAGCACTCTACCTTGGGCAACAGAGTGAGACTCCGTCTAACAAACAAAATGATCTCATCACATTTTATGACTCGAATTACCACATGGACACTGATGCCTTTCAGATCTATATTTCAGCCAGAGTAGCTCTCTGGATTTTCAGATTCCTACATCTCTTCCCTACTTAGTTTTGTGACCTTAAACTCTCAGGCTTTGTTTCCACATCTGTGGACAGGAATTCTAAATCCTCCTCATCAAATTATTTTGATGATAAATTATGAAAAGCATGCAAAGTGCCTGGCAGCATAGTTTGTGCTTCATTAATATTGGTTTAAAGAGAAGTGTCCTAATCAACCCTTCTCCATTTAAGTTCTCCAAACTTCCAATGAGGCCAAAATGAGAATCTTAGTCTGTGTTTTTGTGAAGATTATTTGGTCAAGAAGCTAGTCTACCTCTCTGTCCTTTCCATATCATGGTATAACTTATAAGAAAGGTACTCAGAAAATGAATATCTTTGGACTTATTTTTAAAGAGAATATCATGAACAAAACTGTATCAACTGCAGCACACATTGTGATAGATTTTACCTTACTATAAACTGTAAACATGTGGTTTAGAAATTTCAGTCTCTGTGCATGGGTCCCAGGGATCTACAGAGGTGCTTCACAGCTTTCACAAGAGGCAAGAGACTTGCATACACCAAACACACATGGATACACACATCCACACACTACCAGGGAAAACTCATCATTTTTGTGTGTTTTATATATTGGGATTCCATGGAGATTTTATCTAAATATAAACTTTCACTGGTAAGAAAAATAAGTTTGGAAACCTGTCTGATAAAATTGAAATCTTTTTTAATTTGAATCTTTACTCATATATAAGACTTCACAACTTTTCTGCACTGAATTTATAGAATTATTTGCAGCAACTTCTGGAGTGATTTCAGAGATGGTGTGGTTTACCAACAACTTTGCAGACTGAAAATTGTAGACTAGGAATGTTGTACAGTAGTATGCCCCCTCCAAGGTTTTGCTTTTCATGGTTTCAGTTACCCAAAGTACAGTGGAAGAGATTTTGAGAGAGAGAGAGGAAACATTCACATAATTTTTGTTACAATATTATTGTTATAATTGCTCTATTCAGTTATTAGTTATTGCTGTTAATCTGCTACAGTATCTAATTTATAAATAAACTTTATCATAAATATGTATATATAGAAAAAAACATAATGTATGTAGGGTTTAGTACTATCCACGGTTTCAGGTATCCACTGGGATGTATCCCCTACAGATCAGGAGGACTATTGTGTGGATTTCTCTGTTACCAAGCTCCAAGATAGGGCAGGTGTTCAATATAAGCACTTATCCAACAGGCAGTGGACTATTTCATCACTATATTTAAAATTCCCCTAATTAAGTCTCTGAAAGATAGTTACTCAACTATAGATATGCTAAAGAAGGACTTACTATTTCACAGTGGTACAAACTTACCATCTCCTGCTTACTTAGGAAAGTGGAAGATTCATGGATGCTCACTTTTTTTTGCTTCAAATTATTATGAAATATTTTATTACTTATATCAGAAACAAATTTTCCATTTCCTTCACTCAATAATGAGTAAGAAATTATCCAGCACAGTAGGTACATAACATCAACTTCTAAATCCAGAAAGTTTTATTTAACCAATAGAACCATATTGAATAAAATCAGTCATTTGGTAAATAGTAGAAAACAACAATATTTTTTAGTTACAACAGAATGTCAAAGAGTTCGGTGCAAACTTCAGTTCAGATCAGGGTTTCTTGGCTTATGCTCGCTCATAAACTCTGGTAGCAGTGACGCCCTTCATGATACATTCCTAGATATGCAAAAAATATTCTTGGTCAATCACTTGATCAAGACCATGGGTTTATTTATTATATCTCTTGGGAAGGAAACAATATTCATTCAACAACAACAAAAATTTACTCTGGGCTCTTATATATAGGCCTTATATAGTAACAAATTAGGGAGGTACAAAGACCAGTAAGACACAAGTCTTCCCCTCAGAGAGACTTACAATCTATAAAACAGAGATACATAATACAATGTGGTGGAGATATATAACACAAGGCTGGAGACAGCCTCAGGGTACCCCAGAGGGTACAGGAATAGTTCCTGGGAGACTGTATGCCTGGCCTGAGCTCAAAAGCATGAAGGGCCATTGCCAGAGTGGAACCATAATCCTACTGTGTTTCCCCCAAAATAAGACACTGTCTTATATTTATTTTTTCTCAAGAAGACATAGTAGGGCTTATTTTCAGGGGATGTCTTATTTTTATTAAGCATAATGCAACAATCTACATTTATTCAAATACAGTTAAGTCATCTTCTTCTGGAACCTGACAGGGGGAGCCAACCTTTTTGGTGGGGCTGGCGCTAGTGATGCATGAACCCTTTTCCCCTAGCCATTTGCACGTGCACAATAGGATGCCTGTGACCATGGATACCACACATGCACCCGCGCAAGTGTGAATGGCTTAGAGAAAGGAGATGTGGCAGATAAAAGGTATTCCAGTCTTCCTTATGGCTCTGAGATGAAATGCATGGCATGGCTATGCAGATATGCTGCATAGCCATGCTCATCACTAGGTCTTATTATCGGGGTAGGGCTTCTATTTAACAAATGCATAGAAATCCTGCTAGGGCTTATTTTTTGGGTAGGTCTTATTTTCAGGAAAACACGGTAATAAAATCACCTTTTTGTTCTACATAATCAAGGTATCTGCTTCTTTAGGTAGAATAATGATCATGGGATGATTTAGCCGTAGGATCTGAAATTAAGCAACCAGAAGATACTCACCACAACCAGTTTATCACCCTCTCGTTTTCTCTTGATGGTGGTTGATTTGCCATCCCACTTCTGCACCTGTACCAGAGCACCGTCATCTAAGGTTATGAGGCTCTGCAAGCATAATAGAAAGTGATTGCAATTTGCAGATGAAGACAGGAAAGAAAATGAACAATAAAGTGCCTTTGTTTAAAGGCATATTTTGAGGTCATTAGTAATTCTAAATGTTAAGAATAAATTGCTACAAGAAAATAATGAATGTCAAAAATGACAGCCTGACAATTATATGTATTCATATAGTATGTCTGTAATGTTTTAGATAAATTAAATTTAAAAAAATACTGTGAAGGAATATAAATAATGGTTTCATTTTTACTCTTTAAAAAACCTTCTCTAACATTGTAATGTTAATAATATTACCTTAATTCACTTAACTACTCCATGTATTTTTTGATACATAAATTATGTTAATAATTTTTAATAATAGTGGTCCTATTAAGGACAACTTAATAAAAAGAGGAAAATTCACCAAATAGGTAGTAAAGGCAACGTGGTTTAGCTGTAGGAATCAGGGCTCTTTGACCCAGAATAGAATAGTTTTCCTCCTTTTATAATAAAATATCTTCTCGTAGGCAGTAGCAGTTTAGAAACCAGACATTTGCTCTGTGCCAATTCCTTATTCCTCACCTTGACTTTCCTATCATCCGCAGTGACTTCGTCAAATTCCTGGCCCAGTTGGAAGGAAATCTCAACATTTTTAAAGGTACTTTCTGATTTAATGGTGATCACATCCCCATTCACACTGATGATCACGTTGGGTTTGGCCATGCCAGCCACTTTCCTGGTAGCAAAGCCCACTCCTACAGTTAGGAAAAAAAAAAGGTCAGGTTTACATCTTCTCTGACATCTTTATCTAAGTCAGCGACCCACAGTGCGTGTATGAACATGGTGCATACATGCGTAACAGAAGAAGACACCAGTGAATTTCCTAAAGTCCTCACTTCAGTACCTCCTACATAGCTGGGCATTGTGGCGGGTGCCTGTAGTCCCAGCTACTCAGGAGGCTGAGGCAAGAGAATCGCCGGAACCCAGGAATTTGAGGTTGCTGTGAGCTGTGATGCCACAGCACTCTACCGAGGGTGACAAAGTGAGACTTTGTCTCAAAAAAGAAAAACAAAAAATAGCTCCTACAGATGTGTACATCAGTCTAACACTTAAAGAAAAACTCTGAGGTACAATAAGCATTTCACTATTCTTATTTTTTGTTTGTCTATTTTTTTAAGAGACAAGGGATTGCTCTGTCACTCAGGTTCACAAGTACAGTGATGGGATCATAGCTCAATGCAGCCTTGACCTCCTGGGCTCAAGCTATCCTCTTTTATGTGGGTCCATTCCTTGCATGTCCCCTTCTCTCACCTGAATACTACTCCTCAGAAGACCCAGTGTTAATTTTCAATAAGAATATGTGTAAAGGTTAAGTCATTTGGAATATATTTTTAAAACACTATTAGCCACTGTTATTTTTCTCTATTCATGAAATGCAGCAAGCAATTTGACCATTCCTGTAATATTAAAAAAATCCACAAAGACGAAAATTTCAAGAATTTGGGGCACCAACATACAGTTTTCAGTCCAAAGATAATCTATTTTGAGTGTATAAAAATCCTACTTTATGGTGTATGCTGCCAAGTCTCATTCACTGGGCATCTTTTCTAAATAGACCATGAAATGAAGCTTTCCAATTAATTTCTCCAAAAAGCAAAATGTTCTTACATTCATACACTTTTAGAATGGTGATATCATTCCTAATAATTTATAGAAAATGTTAAAGAAGTAAGCATCAATTGTGAACACTTTAAATTTTTTTTTTTTAAACATCACTATTTCTTATTTGAGGATAGTTTTGAAGCCAATACTTTGATTCCCAATCACCTAAGTTGTGAACTCCTCTTTTTAAAATGAGGAATATACTTTTCTTCTGTAAGGTATGGAAGAAACAACTTACAACTTCACATATGGTAAATTACTGTCACTGCAAGTGTTATATGGAATTGATGACAGTCATAGATGCATTAATTTTTTTAACACATGCATATAAATTTAAGTTATTTCTTTGTCTAAAGGTGACTCACAGTCAGAGATGGGGGAAAGGGGAAAAGAAATATTGTGCAAAATAAGCAGTGCTCTGATTTAGCTCCCTGTCTGAAAAGTGGCCACAAGTGGGAAAGTAATATGTTGCTTGAAGTCCTGGCTCCATTACAAAATACAACATTAAATATATAGAGTGAGTCAGCATACCGTGTTTCCCTGAAAATAAGACACTGTCTGATATTTATTTTTTCTCAAGAAGACACACTAGGGCTTATTTTCAGGGAATGTCTTCCTCTCTGCCCAGAAATGCACTAGGTCTTATCACTAGGTCTTATTATCCAGGTAGGGCTTATATTTAACAAATGCATAGAAATCCTGCTAGGGCTTATTTTTTGGGTAGGTCTTATTTTCGGGGAAATATGGTAATGAATGGATGTAACACCAAGGGTAATTTTAGAATGCTAACCTTAGGAAAAATCATATTTCCACTTGCTTGATTCTGTCTTCGTTTGACTGAGGAAGGCAATCCCTGTCCTCTCATCTCCAATAAGAGTAACCAATGTCATTGAGTGGGGACTTTATTGTCTTTAATTATCACCAGTCCTTTACCATATAACACCTCAGCATTATTAGAACATAAATATTGAAATTGAAAAATATTTCTAAAAATCAATAGCCAAATGGCCCCAAATCCTGGGATTTCTAATCAGTTGGTTGAATCACAACTATTAAGAGTTGATATTCTAGAAAGTTAGGTAGGTCTCTCTCATGGCTGACGTTCCTACTTTCCTCCCTCATCTATACACAAGAAAAATAGTAGTTATAGAAAAGCAAAAAAATATGCTGTATAATTTAGGGTAGGGTAAAGTCTTTTGAGATTGAGGGATTAAATCTTAGAGCCTAATAAAGATATTGTGTAAATTATCACCCGTTTCCTAACCTTGGATCCAGCTTTATCATGTATAAAGGCCAGGGGGCAGGGGAGGGCAGTAGCAGCTGCCCAAGTGAGAAATGCCCTTCTGATTTAACTCTATTGCTTTATTTCCATAATTATCTGGGAGACATTCCTACAACAACATGCTGGTAGCATTAAGAGAGTCAAAAAATTAAAAGCCTCCGTTATCAAAGAGGACATATATTACATGTGTTCTTTATAATTCTATGACATTCCGTGTCATTTCTAGTTAAAGAAGTATGTAAGCCCTGTGAGCAACATGTTTTCTGAAATTAAGATTTTTGTCTACCATAAAACAACCACGCATTTTAATAGATTCACAATGAGACAAGAACATAATTGGCTAACTTACATTTTCTCAAAATATAATGCATTCAGATGGGAAATATAGTGCCTTCATTTTCAAATGGAAATTATCTCACTCTAGGAAGTACACACACTTTTCTTTCCAAGTTATTGCTTATTTTATATGCAAAAGAAAATGAAACAAAAACAGGCAAAAAGCCAAGCCAACCGAAGATACTCAAGTTTCCAATTAAAGTAAAATCTTGTCATCTCTATAGACCATTAAAAATTCCATTTAGATCTTTTTTCGTATTGGGGCACCTTTAGGACTCTTTAGTTGTAACTTTGGTTTAGAATGTCTCTTGAAACAAACGAATCTCACTTGCTGCGTGTACAGCTTCTATGTCGAAAGCTGCATGTCTATTTCTGACCAGTGCTTCCAGAGTGAAAGCACATCTGTAACTCTCGCCCCTCCTCCCCTGAGAACCTGTTATAAATCCAGTTATTCCACAATGATTTTCCTTACCTACTTCTTTCATGTAATCATCGAAGTTTTCACTGGAGACAAGTTTCCAGGTACCCACGAAGGCGTCACACATGTTGCGAGTTTTCTAGGATTATTCTTCCAGGTGAGAAAGAAGTGACAGCTTTCAGCAATGGGCTATAATCCTCTTGTGTCCAGTTAACTCCCTTTTAAAGATGCTCAGAACATGTGATCCCAGGAATAACCAATTGGGAATGATATCAGATTATTTCCTTCATTACCAGCCTCTGCATATTTTCCTCCGAGTCATGTTTTTAATAGAAATTTCTCAACTTTGGTTCTCCCTGGCAAATTGTCATTGGACTTAGAGTATAAATTATTTTTAACTGCTAACAGGATACTTTAAATGTTCTTGTTTTGACAGCTTAATGCTCAGTGCACTGAATTTCCCTCTATTATTTCCATACATATTTGTCCCAACACAGAGGGAGGAAATCATCTTAGGATAAACTTTGGCCCTTTTTTCTTGGATTTTTATTAAAATTGCAATTATGTAGTTCTTTCTAAATTGAGGAATGTTAAGAACCCCCTTGGAGATTCTTAAGTAAGTGTGAAAGCTTTGGGGGATAGCACTGTCTCAGGAATTACCTGGCAATGAAAACTAAATTAATAATGGGATTTGAAGGTACTTCAGATTCCTAATTTCAAATGCTTTGCACAAATAAAAAAGTATATTCAATTCATTCATCTGGACTATAGATTTAATTAAAATAATGATTCTGTTTCACTCTTTCCATCTCCCAAATGACAAAATGGTATTGATTTCTACAGGTCTCTTAAAAAATAGGTTCCAATCTAAAATAGTCTCTTCCTACACTGAGAAATTCATTTAGTTCCTGAGCTATCTTATATCCACTGAATTTACCAGAAGTAAATGTTGTTACTTTTATTTGAATGATCAGAAACGGATTGCAATCAAAATCTATTTTTTTCTTTTACATAGTGACTAATCTGTGAGATACATTATCTAAAGTAATCACAGTTTTTGTTTTTGTTTTTGTTTTTGTTTTTTGAGATAGAGTCTTATTCTGCCACCCTGGGTAAGTGTAGTGGTGTTATATAGCTCACAGCAACCTCAAACTCTTGGGCTCAGGAGATCCTCCTTCCTCAGCCTCTGAGTAGCTGGGCCTACTCTGAGTAACAGGTGCCCACCACAACACCCAGCTAGTTTTTCTATTTTTAATAGAGATAGGTTTCACTCTTGCTCTGGCTGGTCTTGAACTCCTGAGCTCAGGCTATCCACCTGCATTGGCCTCCCAGAGTATTAGGATTATAGGCATGAGCCACTGCACTCGGCTGTAATCATGGTTTTCAATCTTTCCACCCCATACCACAATGATGAAAAATGTTCATATGTGCAACAAATTCCCTATCCAGATTTAGGAAAGAAGAAATTAACATATTGCAGCATGATATATCCCACAGAACAGTGTCTTCTGAGCACAGGATCAATCTGCAAGCCCACTGGGGACTGTTGCATGCATAGGCCACCATCCAGGTTGGGCTTGCATTAGAGATTTATCCATTTTCCCATTGAACAAGATCATTCAGATGGAAAGCAAATAAAAATGACTAAATTTAATAGAGGGATAATTTTGATGTTTTTAATTAATAATGGTTTACTTTTAAAATACATGTTAATGCTTTATTTTTAGTAACAAATTGCTTCAAACAGATTTGCAAATGATTATCACATTAAAATATGCTCGTATATTACCTATATTATAAACATTGCGATTTAAATATGCTTTAAATTTAGAGATGAATCGTCTCATACTTTACTATCTAAACACATGTGGCTCATGGCTCTTAAACACTTGAAATATGACTAATGTGATTGTGAAACTGAATTTTAAATTTTACTGAATTTTATTTAAAATGTAGGAAATGAAAGTTGGGAAACTTTTAAGTATGTTCGGAACAGTCTGAGTAGGTCAGTCTACTTTTTCAACTGTAAATTTTATGAAATCTAAATGTTGGTCAACTATTTCAAAAGAAAATTTAGAGTCTGAATTGAAATGGACTGTTAGCATAAAATACATATCATGTTTTGAAGATAACATTAAAAAAGTATCACATTTTATTAAAATCTTTACACTTACCACATGCTGAAATGATATTTTAGGTATATTGGGATAAATGAAATATATTAATATTACTAAAATTAATTTATTATTTTTCCTTTTTTATTTAAAGAGGCTTTTTTTTTTTTTTTTTTTTAGAGACAGAGTCTCACTTTGTTGCCCTCAGTAGAGTGCTGTAACATCATAGCTCACAGCAACCTCCAGCTCTTTGGGCTTAGGTGATTCTCTTGCCTCAGTCTCCTGAGTAGCTGGGACTACAGGTGCCCACCACAATACCCGGCTATTTTTTTGTTGCAGTTTGGCTGTGGCCAGGTTTGAACCCATCACCCTCGGTATATGGGGTCAGCACCCTACTCACTGAGTCACAGGTGCCACCCTATTATTTTTCCTTTTTACATTCTTAATATAGCTATTAGAAAATGTGAGATTCTTTAGGTGGTTTGTATAATGTTTTTCTTGGGCAGTGCTGTTTTAGAGTGCCATGGTGATGCCAGGATTTATTTGTGGATTTTTCATATATATGTATTTTTTATTTCAGATTAATGCAAGAGTACTACAAATTATTAGATTACATTGACTACATTTCTAAGATAAAGTCCAAGTTGTAGTTGAGCCCTTCATCCAGGGGATGTGCTGTGTACCCTTATATTGTGCCATTAGGTGAGACTTTATCTTTCCTCCTCCCTCCTCCCCTTTCTTCTTTCCCTCCTCTCCCACCCCCATGCCACTTGAATATACTTCTTTTTTCTCTTGTGTGTGTATATAGTTGTTTTTCTATTGATTTCGTATTAGTATGGAGTACATTGGATACTTGTATTTCCATTCTTATGACACTTTGCTAAGAAGAATATGTTTCACCTCCATCCAGGTAAATACAAAAAATGTAAAATCTCTATCTTTTTTTTGTGGCTGGTTCGTATTCTATGGTATACATATACCACAGTTTATTAATCCATTCATGTGTTGATGGGCACTTGGGTTGTTTCCGTGTCTTGGCAATTGTGAATTGAGCTGCAATTAACATTCTAGTGCAAATTTCCTTGTGATAAAGTGATTTTTTTCTTTTGGGTATATACCTAGTAATGGGATTGCTTCTCCATAATATGGTTCATTTGTTTATTCAATGCCTGAGTCAGGCACCATGCTAACCCCTGGAGATTCAACAGTAAGCAAGCCCCACCCCGGTAGGCACTTACTTGCTCTCTTGGAACTTACGTTCTAATGCTGGAGAAGATATTATAATAATATACAAGGAGGCAAATAAATAAACCACCAGCATGCCTTAAAAAAAAAAAAAAACTTGAAGAATATTTCTGTGGGCTGGTAGCATCATCTACCTATGTTACCATATTTAGTGCCTGATCATTGCTGAAGAAATGGCATAGTTGAGATTTTCCAGCAACAAACACTGGCTTTTTTAGTGATTTCATATAAATAGGAATAGCAGTAGCCTAAAGTAAAGGGCCTTGGAACTTAAATAGCAGTGGAAGTATTAGGATTTGAGGGAGTAGTTGAGTCTACAGGAGACAATTCCATGTTATCATTCATGGAGAGTAACAACGTAGGCTTGGCAGAGTTTCTTACCTGAAGAAATGTTGTTCTTTAAAGGCAGTTTAATCTACCTTTCAAACACAGGTACCATCCTGTGGAATGCTAATATCCTTACTATGCATAAATCCACTAAGTTATGTCTCATGTAAGGGAGAGAACTCTTTCTAGACAATAAGCTGTCTAGAAATTGAATGCAGAGGCCTATATCTCATTCTCTGAAGAATAAACAGGAATACAGGCAACTGCTCAGTTCCTCCAGAAATTATCTTCATCTCAGTCCCTAACACTTAATCTTGTTGGCATGGATAACATGGAATGTTCTCTCATCAAATCATTATCAGCTTTTACCATGATGTTGATGTCCTGCCATGTGAATGAGGTAGCACAAAATAAAGAGATCACACTACAAAGAAAACCTGAGACTATGTGGCCTTGGGTTCAATGCTCTTTGAAGTATATTCTCCCCGTGTAGTAATAAAGAGAATGTGAATTTAACCAAAATTTCAGTGCTTATTCCTTCTTGAAAACTAGTAGAAATTATTTTCAAACACTATTGCATTGTATAAAATTCACACTGGCAAATAATTTTCAAAAATCTCTTTTTTAAGCCTGCTATGTCCAAGACACTGTACTATGTTGCAATATAATAGTAAAGAAGACTTGATTTCTGTCTGTCTTTTAGGATCCAATTTCCCATTCCACTTACCAGCCTGGGACCAAGGTAAAACACAAAGCCTTTCTAAAATGTTAATTTTGATAGTCATCTTGACATGAGCATTTTCTTTTCTTTTTTTTTTTAATTGTACAAGAAGCACTTGTTGTTCTAAACATTTTTACACTTTTATTATCTTTCATTAGCATATCACGTATACAACAGACAAGATACTTTTATCTCATCTCTAATCTCCCTTCATTCCTGAATTTCCTTCTCCATCTTGAACTTCATCCCATCCACAACTTAAAATTTCCTAGAGTGTTGCTCATTCACCAAACATTTGGATTAATGAATTAATCAACAAAAGGCATGAGGTATGAGCATAGGCTATTGTGTTTAATGCTGTGTGTGTGTTTAAAACCAGGAGAGCCAGGGGCCCCTGAGTGTTAGAAAGATGGGTACAGTGGCCCTAGGAAGAGTGGATTCTAAAGGTTGCAGTGAGAAGATGCAAATCTGCTTACAAGGCAAGAGTTAAGAGGGGCTGAGCAAGGGTAATGCCAGTGAGACAAGGAAGAAACAGTAGAGAACTTGAAAAACAGTATGATGAGGGTGCAGGAAACTACTCCCTTCTGAAGGAGCCCAGTGCCCAGAAACAAGGTAAGTGGGAGATAATTTGACTTTGATTATGGAAAGAATTCCCACAGAGGTGACCATGCCTTTACTCACAAATACTCAGACCCACCATTAAAATGCACACGCCAGGTGGGAAGTTTCCTTAGAACTGTGGGAAGGGGTCTTTAGTGGCCAGAGCTTTGCTTTGCTCCAAGCAGTGGAGG